AATTGAAATGAAGATTATTGAGAAGATTCGAGTCACAGAGAAAAAAGTGTCTCCTGCTGAAAAAGGTACAAACTTTGTGAAAACAAGTCGATGCACTTTAATCACATCTGAGTCTTTAACGCTGATACAACAGGTTTTTAACTCTTAATCTGTGTCTCGTCTAACTCTTACTGACTTTGTGTTTTGTTGTCACGTCTTGGCGCCGCCACATGACGCCTGTTCTTCAACCACTCTTAAAACGTCTAGAAGCGACAACTCTTATTGAGACCAGGCGAAGCAAACAAGCTCAGAAGACAGAAGTTCATTATGCGACTAAGGAAGTGTTGCTCACAGAAGAGGCGCTGGAAGAACACGTAGAGGCGCCGGAAGAACACGTAGAGGCGCTGGAAGAACATGTAGAGGCGCTGGAAGAACACACCGAAGTGTTGTACGAAGACGATGTGGCTCCTCTGCACGAGACAATAGTGACCTTATCAGCAGTCAAGGATTTGGCAAAGACACAAAGAGAGAAAGAGTCTGAACTGAGAAGTGAGATATCTGTTACTGACTCGATAAAAACAAAAGGAAACAAAAAAACACAAGAATCTGTAGCTTTAGTTCTGGAAAATGAATCAGACAAAACCAGAGAGTTCGGTCTGCAGGAGGAAACCTCCAGAGAAAAGTCTGAGGGCGAGTTTTCAGTCACGATGGTCGAGTCACAGACAGAGGACACCATGGACGAGAGGAAAGACGGCTCATCTGTCCGACAGGACGTTTCTAAACAAGAACCAAAAATTAGAGACAGGAAGGAAAGTGAGATAAAAATCAAAACAGAAAGTAAAGAGAAACTTAAGAGAGAAAAAACTGAGACTGTAAAAGATCAAATCAAACCTTCAGTTCTCATCAGCACAGAATCCAGAAAACAAAGCGAGAGAGTGAAAACTGCAGAGGAACAGAGGAATCTGTTAACAGAGGAATCAGTCGTGAAAACAGGAGTTCAGCCAGAAATAAAACACAGAAGAAACAAAGAAATGACACAAGTTATTATTGAACAGACAGAAATTAAAGTCGAAGACAAACCTACAAAAGTTCAAGAGAAAATAGTCACAGAGGAAATTAGTAGAAAAGACGAAACTCAAATTAAACCTCTGATCGTTTCTGAGTCAAACAAAGATGAAAAGAGTTCAACGAAAGTTTCAGTAAAGAAACACAAAGCAGCTGAAATGATTGAGAGAGAAAAAACCAAACCTGAAGTGGAGGTAAAACACAAAGAGTCAGTAACAGATGTCGAGCTGAAGAAGCCAAAAGTCATCGAGTCAGTCACTGAAAAACCAGAAGTCAAGAGAGAAGAAGAATCTAGAGTTGAGCAGAAGAGAGATGTCAAAACTTCAGTCGCTTCAAAACCAGAGAAGAAAAGAATTTCACCTCAAACAGCTTCCAGAGGTACAGAGAGAAAATCATCTTCACCTTCATCTTCCTCATGTCTTCATGTTTAACTTCAGTGGTTTTAAAAAGATGTCATCGTATCATCTTTCACATTTTCAATGCTGCGTCTTTTTAGAGTGATTCTTTTTTATCCCTTTGTGCTTTTCACTTCTTAAATATCAATACAAATCTCTTGCGTTAAATAAAAACTGATTATCTTCAAAGAAACAGAAGCTGAAGCTGAGACTCTGCCCTCGACCGTTCGTCCTGTTTCGTCACCTGAAGTCGAGATAAAAAGAAAAGCAGCAGAAAAAGGTACGACAGGATATTTTCCTTTTGTCGTCATCAGCTCTTCTTCTTTTAAAATCGTCTGGTTTGTCTGGTTTAACACAAAATGTCTGTGTTTCTGTTGTTTTCTTCCTAATCTCTTGGCATCGTCACATGGTGCCTTCTTCTCGCCTCTTAAACTCTTCCGTCCTCAAGGGGGCGTCACTGGTCTTTTATCAAATGAGGAACGAGCCGGAACTCCAAAGATCGTTAAACATTTCACGTCTGAGTTTGAGTCGTCTGCTGAGGTCGTAGAACGAGAAGAAGAAGAAGCTAAAACATTTCACAAAGATCAAGAACTTGTGGGTGAAAGTGTGAAAGGAGAGATTTTGAATCTGAAGTCTGTTACTGAAGGTTCAGAGACTCGAGGTTCTAGACCCGTCTCAAAACCTAAAGGAAACGTCATCGTGACAGGAAGTGAATTTAAGAAGAAAAAGGTTGAGAAAGAAACAATGAAACAAAAACCTCAAAGATTTGATTCTCAAACAGCGATTGTAGACGTCGAAGATTCTAGAGAGAATATCGAAGCTTCTCATGACAGAAAAAGTCCAGAAATTTCTATTAAAACTGTTTCTGATTCAAATCAAGTGATTGATATGAGGTTTAAGAGTAAAATACCTAATGTGACGGTTTTAAAAACTCCAGAACAAACTCAACTCCAGATGGAAGTAAAGCAAAGTGAAGAAGCAGAGAAGCGTTCATGTGAAAACACTGAAACAGCCTCAAAGATACAAGAACCCGATCGTTCAGAGCATCGTGAACCAAGTTTAATGATTCAAACCGAGAAACGTAAAGGAAACGATTCTCATGAAGCTGAAAATAAGATTCAACTAATTCAGTCTGTAGAAATAAAAAAGAACGACAAAGATGAATGTTTGAAAAAGAAACCAGAAATAAAAGTTACAAAGCTGCAGGAGGAGGAGACTGAAATATTCATGAAAGGTGAAGAATTCAAAAAGAAAATTCATCCGTCAAAACAAAAAGAACAGACCGGAGGATATAAACCATATTATAAAGATGAGGAAGAACTGACCTCAGCTCAGACCGGAGGATATAAACCATATTATAAAGATGAGGAAGAACTGAC